TCTTTTATTCTCTTATTCTCTCTTATTCTCAGCAGTCGCGATCCTAACGGTTCTCTCCGTGGTTCACGCACGTGAACACGTTCTCTCGTTATCTTCTCTCTTTCTCTCTCTCTCTCTCTCTCTTTTTTTTCTCTCTCATTCTTTCTCTCATCTTACTCTTCTTACTCTTCTTTGGTGGTACAAAGCGTTACAAGTACGCAAAAGAAAACCTTTCAAGTATCTCGAAGGAAAGTAAATGATAAACAAAAAAATACTCGAAAGGTGGATTACTACTTCTCTCTCTCTCTCTTTCTTTCTCTTTCTCTCTTTCTCTCTTTCTCTCATTCTTTATTTTTCTTTTTCTTTTTCTCTTTCTTTTCGTTCATCTAGAAAGCAGCAACATTTCTAAACTTGCTTATAATCTAGCTAGAAAGACTGACTCACTCTCTATCGCGAATACCAAGAAGAAAGAGGAGGTGCTGCAAGAGGTGCAAGAGATGCAAGAGAAATGCAACAGAGATGCAAGAGAGAAACTTAGAATGAGATAGAAAAAGAGAGAGAGAGAGAGAGAGAAGTGAGGCTGGAAATGCACACGGCTATCGTAAACACACAGAAAGGAGGACTGCCCTTTTCCTACCTGAAGTAAATATTCCAACTGACTACTCTTCAAGCTTTTATACGTTGCGTTTAAATCACACCGTAAAAATGCATACGACAACTACGATGACTTTCGAGAGTAAATGCGGGCGAATGCATTTTTTCTTTTTTTTCCTTTTTTTTTTTTTTTATAGAAAGGAGGAACGATGATTCAAAGAGAAAGAGAAAGAGAAAGAGAAAGAGAAAGAGAAAGAGGGACAATTGAAAATGCAAAAAGAACACAAGGATAAGGGAAGATGTGTAAAATCTCTTTCCCATTTTTCTCTTCCCTCTCGCATATTTTTTATTTTCTTTTTTATTTTTTTTTTATTTTTTATTTTTTTTTTATTCTAAAATATGAATACAATTCAATTCATTTCTATTCGATAGTATTGAATTGAATTTTAATTAAATTGAATATTTATATTTACTTCGATTAAATTAAATGAAATTCTTTTATTTTTCTTTTTTATTTTTTTCAGTTTTTTTTTTTTTTTTATTTAATTTCGTTAGATTGAATTTAAATTGAATTGCATTTTTATCTGTCGTACCTATTTACGATTACCTCGGCTTAAATAATTTTTTATTAATTTTTTTTCTTTCTTTCTTTCTTTTCATTTTTATTTTTCAAAGAAAATTATTATTTCAATTTACAATTCGCGTTATTACGTTTGATAAACATCTTATAAATATTTCTACAATCTTTTATAGATTCCTTCGATTATTATTATTATTATTCCATAGATAGATTACGAACAACAATATTTTTATAACAAGACAAAAATCATTGATGAATAATAAAAAACAAAAAAATTTGATTAACCTCACCTCAAGACAATTTTTCTTTCGTAATTTACATGCGCAATACATACACGATCGTAACAACATAAAAATGAATAAACAAAATGAACAATAATTAATTTACAATACGTCGACGTTAATAAATCAAATCAAACCTGTCGGTTTTTTCTCTTTTATACTTTTACCGGTAAATAAATTTTGTGCTTTCTTTTTTATTTTATTATTTTCCTTTTTTTTTTCTCTCTCTCTTTTTTCTTTCAAATTGCACGCACATTTCATATCGTAAAATATTCGCAAATATCCCATAGAAAATTTTATTTCCGTGCAAAGTTTAACAAACCTCTCTCTCTCTCTTTCTCTCTCTCTTTCTCTCCCTTTTATTTAATAAAATGTTGATATCCCTATCCTCCCTCCCTCCCTCCCTCCTTTTCGTTCCAACACCCACGCACAGCTTTTTTTCTCTACCTTCTCTTCTTCTCTCTTCATTTTCCATGGAAATCTGATTGACGGGATAGTGAAAGTGATGGATGCATGTGTACATGTATATGTGTATATATATGTGTTCTCTCGCGCGAGCAAGAAATGCGGAAAGAAATAAAGAAAAATACAAATGAAAACTTAGTGGTTGGTTGGTCTATCATTTTTACAAAACCATAATTAAAAAGAAATGATAAACAAAATAATATATACTTATACGAGACGACAAACACATGTGTGTATGTGTGTGTGTGTGTGTGTAGAAAAAATATTTTATCAAATATTCGTGCTGATTGGTAAATAGATTTAAAAAGAATAATTGTATTTATTAAAATAATAAACATATACTACACAATAAAATACTAATATAATAATAATTAAATTGATGAATTAAAAAAAAAGTCTTATGTATTTATTAAAAAAAAAAAAAAAAACGAATAAATATTAAAATATTATATATAATATATATAAATAACTATATATGTAAATTTTATATTATTAATATTTTATTTTATATATTTATATTAAAAATTATATATATATATAGAAATATTAAAATTATTATTTACCTATCATATTCAATTTAATTGTAAGTTAACTTTCCGGTCAATCCAATACACATATCGTCCACATATGTGTACATACATACTACACACATATACATACACACTTATCTATGTATTTCTATCTTTATCTTTTTTTTTTATTTACGTGTCCTTAAGGTGGATGAAAGTTATCGGAGAAAGCCAATTGGAATTAGATCTCTGTCTCTCACTCTTGCACGTAAATAACGCAGAAATCGTACGCATGTTGTCGCACACCTACACGTTAGTGAAAATGAGAGAAAAAAAAAAGAGAGAGAAAAAAAAAGAGAAAGAAAAACTAGTAGGGAAGAGGAGTGAAAGAGTAGAGAATGCAAGAAGAAGAGAAAGAGGTGGGAAGTGGGAGGTGGGGGGTGGCAGAGAAAGGAAGAGAGTAAGAGCAGGAGGTGGAGAAGGGGAGGAGGTGAGGTAGAGGGAGAAAATAAGTGCACTCGTGTGCGATGTGCAGCCGTATAGACACCACAAGCTTGTCTAAGAGGAGGAGAACCTTTACGTAACTTTGCAACGTTCCTCTTTCCGCGCCGCAAATATCCAGGGCCGCACTTATATGTTGTTTAGTTACATCGATATTTTCCCATAAGCCCCTCTTCGGGATTTATATATATATATATATTTAGTATAGTTCTCGATAGGATAAAATTCTATAAACGAAATCATTCCGTTCAAGTTATGTGTTATGGTTTTTTTTATGTTTTTATTTTTTAATCGACACTGAATATATTTGGAAAAAAATATTGTTTTCCTATTCATTTTTCTTTTTTATCCTATTTAATTTTATTTATTAATATATATATATATATATATATATATATATATATATATATTTTTTGTTATTTAAAATATTTTATATAAGTAAAATATTAAATAATTATCTTATCTACTCAAGTTTGGTATATATTAAAAAGAAAATAATTATGATAGGTGGAATGTTTTAAGTTTTTTTGAAATTTACCGCCAAAGTTATCCCTTAGAGTGTCTACCAATCAAATCTGTGGCGCGAGAATTGTCGTTGATTTGATTTGTATCATTGATCAATTAGAAATCAAAGTGTTTTTAAATATATATATATATACAACGTGATTAATGATTGAAAGAACATTTTTTACTTTTTTTTTATTATAAAAAAAGAATGAATAATCAATTAAAAATATAATTCTGCTTGCTTGTTATAAAAAAAAAAAATTGTATTAATCGATGAGAATGATACACGTGGAATAAGTGGAATACGAAAATCTTACGTTTACTTATTTAAATCCCCCATTTCTCGTGTTCCTAGTAATAAGATTTTCATAAAAAGTATTAGAAAAAAAAAAAAAGAAAAACAAAAAAAGAAGAAGAAGAAGAAGAAGAAAAAGAAGAAGAATGAATACAAGTTGTTCCGGTAGACTGGTCGATAATATCGACGTCGCGGTGTCGTAATTTTATGATAAAAAACGGGAAGAATGGAGTAGAACATGCGATCGGAAGAAATCGATGCTTCGATAAGATCGTTACTCGGAACCAAACCGACGATCCGATTATTTTATATACTAGAAATATGTATATATAATAAGTAAATAATGAAATCTCTATATAACTACATACATACATATATATATATATATATATATATATATATATATATATATATATATATATATATATATATATATTACATGTAACCATACTTACACTATAAGACCATAATACTATTTTAAAGTAGCTTTTTAATTTTTAAATATATAATAATAATAATAATAAAATATATAATTATTATATTAATTAATATAAAATTACAAATATATTTTCCAAGGATATGTTATTTCTACTAAAATTAAAATTTACAAAAAAAAAAGAAAGGTAAAAAATAATAATATTATTCGTATTAATTAATAATTTATAAAATTACAAATATTTTCTACGAGTATATTATTTCTGAATAATAATTCAATAATAATTTATTCGCATTAATTAGAAGAATACGTTCAATGTTAAAAAAAAAAAGATGACATATTATATCGTTTCTATCTATGTATAAAAAAAAAGCACATACAAACATACACTTAAAATTATAAAATTGCAAACACACACACACACATAGCATAGGAATACTCGTTTTATTTATGACTACACTTCGTGTAATTACTTATCTTATCGGATATAGTCGTATAAGTATCGTTAACGTCACGTAATTAGGTGTCAAACGCGATTGCCGATTGCTACAATAAGAAGTTTCTTACCCCCCTTCTCCCCCAGCCCCTCTTCTTATCACCCTTTCACCCTGTTCTTTTTCTCGTTTAAATGTATTAGCAAATTCCACGATCAATGCACACTTACATTAGTTTCTTATTTTGATTAAAAAAAAAAAAAAAAAAATAAAAAGTAATACAAAACTATCGAGATTCTAAGAAAATGATATTTAACGAACCTGATTTCAATGTTACATATGTGAGATAATGATCAATAAAATCTTGCAATACACTGATATATAAGATACAAGGATATAACTTCTTTGTGTGTTAACAGGATCGACGGAGGATGATTCGAAAAAAAAGATAACAACTAAAGGACGTGGCAGAAAATGTCGAGAAGTTGTTGATGTTCTAACGAAAATGCCAAAAATTCTTGGACCATTAGGACTGTTATATCAATGTATGGAAACGAGAAAACGTATTAGGGTAAGTTTTTTCTTCTTTTAAGTTTTTAAACATTATTCTTTTTTTTTTTTTTTTAATGCAACATATATATTGGTGGTTTGTTCAGAAAGTAATTATTTCTTGACACAATTTTCGCATTAGTTGATGCAAAACCAATTAATAACACGTGAGATTGGTGAAAGATTAAATTTATCAAATTCAACTTTTTTTTATGGTTTACTTGAAAGGCCTAGGTTTAACATCGAAATGAAAATGTTGTCTTCATTTTGATAAAAGAAAAATGAAATTACTTTTCGAAAACCCAATATATATATATATATGTATATATACACGTAGGTAGGTACGTAATGTAGGTGTAAATTGTAAAGTTTTAGTTCAGTTTGAAATAGACTTAATTTACATTTTGTTTACGTCAATGTAGATAAAATATATATATATATATATATATATATATATATATATATTATTATAATAATAATAATGATAATAATAATAATAATAATAATAATAATAATAACGTATTTGTTTGTGAATATTTAAATAAAAGAATATTATTTATTCTATGAATAGAATAAATTTCATATTATATGTAATAGATTTTGAAGTACATGTGTACTGCATTATTTTTAATAATACATAATACATTATTGTTGATAAGTTATAAATAAATAAATAGATAATAAAACAAAAAAATAAAAAAAAAATAAAAAAGAAATGAGTAAAATATGTGTGTGTCTTCTGTATATTACTTTTGATAATGTATAATATATTCTGRTTCATGAGTTATAAATAAATAAATAGATAAAAAAAATAAATGAATAAATAAATAAATAAAAAAATAAAAAAAATTTCAACGTACAAATGTCAAAGAAATAGGCTACAAAAAATATGTCATATAAAATCCACACAGACAATAAACACACGCACACACACACACGAACATATATATGTTATTCGATATTGAGATCATTCTCGAATGATTGAACATTCGTAAATGCAAATATATATTCCCGTTAACCTAACTGAAAGGAAGATAAATATATAAATATATACATACAATATACATACATATCCATATACATATAGTTTATGAATGTGTTGTATATCAAGTTGAAATCGAGAAATCGAGCATATATATATTTTATACATCTATCTATCTATCTATCTCATTTTTATCTTTCCTTCTTTCTTTCTCTCTTTCTTTCTTTCATACGGTAGTGTAGTAGCTTACGGAAAAAGTTCTGCTTGTGGGCAGCCCTGAAAGGCAGCAACTGACAATTCAAGAACCGCCTACGCGTGCCATTTCTTCTCCTGACCCCTGGCATTGTGCGCGAGCGCGCGTGCATTTACACGCGACTGACACACTTTCGTATTTCATTTTACAAGTATATATTGATGATTATGAGATGGTAGTAGTGGTGTTGTGTCGATAAAACTCACAAGTGAAACTGAATGACACGTGCGCAACAACAGCCCTTCCATCAGCCCTTCCATCAGCCCTTCCATCACTCCGCTCCCCCTCCACTCTTTTTTTATTCTTTCTTTCTTCTTCTTCTTCCTCCTTTTACAAGGGCCTCATAGGGGGTGAAGAAAAAGGGATATTATATACTAGTTAATAGCTATATATATATATATATGTATATATATATAAATAGTTCACTAATACAACTATAATATACTATAGTATACAATAGTATAGTACATTATAGAAGAGAAAGCAAAACGTTTGTGGGAGGTCAACACTCGTAACCATGGTAACTTTAGTCAAGAGGGCATAGGGAAGAAAACCTTTTTCGTCATCCCCTCTTTCTCCTCTTTTGTCCCTTTTATACATTTTCGTTGAAGACGCAAAAAGACAAGGTCAAAGGCGCCACCCTTTTTCTTCTTCTTCTTCTTCTTCTTCTTCTTCTTCTTCTTCCTTCTCTCCTTCCCCTCCTCCTTCTCCTCCTCCTTCATTCTCATCCTTTGCCCTTTTCATCTCGTATTTCTTATGCTTTGTTTTTTTTTTTATTTTTTTTTTACTTCATTTTTTTTTTGCTTTAATCTTTTACTAAACAAATCGATAATAATCAAGAAGCTTCGTCATCCCTTTCTTTTTTTTCTTTTTATTTGGTTGGATTGATTTGACTGATTTTTATTAGTAATTGAATTTATTGAATATTTCTTTTTTTGTTCTGTTTT